ATTCCCCCCCCCCTCCCCGAACCTCAAGTATATCGTTCTAGGCTGTTCAGAGAGCGTTTGTTCTTGCTAATACACTACTTTCCAACCCCACCGGCCTTGCTTGCCTGCTCTGCTTAAAGGTGAATGCAGACATATTTTCAGTGCACCTGTACCCCTGGTTGTACGGGAGGAACTGTCCACTTTGGACTACGGTTGCCTAGGTGGAAGACTGAATGTTTTAAGTCTGTCTTCAGGGCTTCCTGGAGAAGGAAGGGGATAGTGTATTCACATTCAGGTCTGTTTTAGATAGAAGATGCTCCCACCCACTTATTCACCTGGACTTCTTTTGCAGAGCACATTAGGAATCGTAAGCTATAGGATGGCCGTTCCTATCTTGAGAGAGAACAAGCCGTGTCAACTAAAGCAATTCAGAAATTAATAACATGTTAGATATACTCCTAGAAAAACTGTGTTTATACAAGATCGTGGAAAAGGGGGTATCTTTTAGTGCTAAATTCCATCTTCTATCTTGCTCAAGGGGTTGCTTTTTTGATGAGGGATGACATATTTAAATGCCCTTCCTAAGTCGGGTAAGAGAAAACTTCAGTAATAAATAACACCAATCCTAGCTCTCATGTAGCATTGTCCATCTGAGAGTCTTAAATTGCTTTGTTGTCTATATTCTGTAACACTGTATTCTTACAAGTGAAAAATACAGCCCTCTCCCCGGGGAAAAAAAAAAGTCAGCTTGTTCAAAAACACATAAGCAGTTGGGGGAAGAATGAGCAGATTTTGGGGTTCTTCGCATCATTTGGGGGCAGAGATTAAAACCAAAAGACAGGAAAATGAAAGAAACATTCAATGAGGTGATATCATTTCCCTTTAGTTAAATTTCCCTTTCTTTTACTTGTTTCATGACTATTCCCACTGCCAATAATTCACAGTCCAGAAAAATCTGAACACTAGGTTTAGATGGAATGACTTTGACTTTAGAACTAAAATAGGAAAGAATTGAAAGATATACATTTATGTATTTGGTGGCGCACATTTATAACTGTCTCCTGCGCGATCACTCTATAACCTGTGTGTTTATGCATTGGCAGAAAACAAAGGTTTTCGAAAGCAGAAGTGACACACTCAATCTGGGCATATTTGACGCATTGCTTTGTTCCCTAATAAGTTGTTTTATCACTTACTAGCATTAAAAATATTTGTAGATTGTGTTGTTGGGAGAAAGGGATCAGTCGTTCCTATAAAGCTCTCGGCTTCGGTCGTTGACAACGTCATCAACAAGAATAAGAACTCAGCAACCGGCATGTGGCATACCAACCAGGTGTTCGCTGTATTCTATTCTGCCTGTATTTCTGAAGAAGCACTTCTCATTTCATCACAACCTAGATTTGAAACCTAAGCTAAACTCGGTCCATGTGCTTGAGTGGTTCAGAATAAATGGCTGTTGCCCAGACCAGCCATGTGCATGTAAGGTGCCGTCCGGGAGAGAATCCTGGGAAACAGTTTTGCTCAACCTGAAGAAAACCCCAGTCTGTAACTAACTTCTCATTGAAACGTACTCCCTTCTTTACATGCTTCTTGTATCCTTTCCCAACCATCAAGCCTCCAGTCGGATGGATCCGAGGTGCTCCTGAGTCCTGAAGTCACCTGTGGCCCCCCAGACATGACCGTCACCACACCCTTTGCATTGACCATACCACACTGTGCCGACGTCAGTTCTGAGCACTGGAACATCCATTTAAAGAAGAGGACGCAGCAGGGCAAGTGGGAGGTGAGACCCTATTCTTCCTTTATAAAAAATGGGATTTGGTTTTCACCTATGGAATAGATTTAACCTTATGTTCTCTTAACACGAGTCTGCTGTGAAATCTGTAAGCATTTTCTTGTTTTTTCAAAGGGTTGATGGTGTGCGTTTTACAACATCCTCAAGGTACTGGCTAGTGTTTTTCCATGATAATGGAAAAGAGGAGGAAGGGAGGATCTGGGGCTTTTCTGTTTGGTTTTAGAATACATCACTCGTATGTATTTACTCACACAGGCATGTTACCTTTATGTGCCCATCCTTGGTCCATAAAACCGTTACTCCTGTCCTTCCTCCCAGACCATGTCCCTGTCTGAATTGACTTTCCCTGTCATCACTGTGGAGACAGAGAGGAGGCTCAGGGCACACAGGTGGTGTTCATAAAAGAAACTTCTGTCTGACTTTACCATCATAGGGATTATAACGTGTTGAAATGTTCAGCAACACAGTAGTTGGCTAACTGTATTTTGATGCATTAATGAATGCACCGAAAATTATTGAGCGTCTGTCTCCCTGTGGATATGAGTACATTTGAAAGAGATACAGCACAAGGAGAGAACAGAAGAGAGGGGCAAGAAAACGAGAAAGCATGTGAGGAAGGTAACAACAAGAGACGGACACAACAGAGATTGCAGTGGAATTGCTATTTTTATGTGAAACCTCTGATTTATTTGATAGGGATTCCTTTTCTGTCTGTCTGAAGTCAGTTTGCATGAAAGCAGGTGAATTATCTTGCTGGAACACAGTGACCTGCTCCCGCTAGCCTTGGGATCTTACCTCCCAGGAGGTGCTCCCAGCAAAAGGAGTAAAAGGAAAATCTTGTTTCTTTAGGAGAAGAAAATTCCCAGTTGCTGCAAATGGATTACATTTACCCTGCCCAGCTATCTCTGAACTGGCCTGTACTCTTTGCTGAAAATGCATTCTGCTATTTATTCGGTCCTGGTACAACCAGGGACACATTTCCCGGGCATGATAGCCCATGGGCTATTTATTCCATGGGCTTCATAAAGGGGCCACATTTTGCTCTTTTTTCCATTATGTTTTGCTTTGCCTTGATTTTTACCATTTCAGTTTTTCTGTTGAGCACTTCCTCACAAGCTTTTCATCCAGATGGTGTTATATTTATGCTCTCCCCAACCAGTCACACACACCAAAGTTCTTATCAAGGACGGGGAAGTATTCTAGCCCATCTTATTGAAACCGTTTATTTAATGGTCCCTCACAAATGAATCCGGTAGAAAGAGGATAAAATATTTGAGAGAAAAGAAGTATTACCTTCACGATATTGGAAGAGATCTTCAGAAATAGACCTTTTTCAAAACAAAGTTTGCTTTCAACTGTTACAGATTTTCATAAATTGGGCACTGAACAAATCACTGAAAAAAGGAGAACTTTGGAAATGAAGTTTGTTGTAACCTATAGAATTTCAATTAATATAACTCACGTAAGTTCCCTACATCAGCAGTTACAGTGTATTTTGATAGAAAAAGAACATTCAACATCAAGAAAAACAGGACAGTAAAAATATTCTTAAAAAAAATCATGTATGTCCATGCAAAGTCATTGTTAAATCACATATTCTTTCCAAGCTGAGAGAATTTAAAACACCTTTTCCCAACAGGAAGTGATGTCAGTGGAGGATGAATCCACATCCTGTTACTGCCTTTTGGACCCCTTTGCATGTCATGTGCTCCTGGACAGCTTTGGGACCTACGCCCTCACTGGAGAACCAATCACAGACTGTGCCGTAAAGCAACTCAAGGTGGCGGTTTTTGGCTGCATGTCCTGTAACTCTTTGGATTACAACTTGAGAGTCTACTGTGTGGACAATACCCCTTGGGCATTTCAGGTCAGCCTTTTCTCTAGAATTCTTTTTTTCTTTTAATTTTTTTTTTAATGTCTATTCATTTTTGAGAGACAGAGAGAAAGAGACAGAGCATGAGCAGGGAAGGGGCAGAGAGAGAGAGAGACACAGAATCTGAAGCAGGCTCCAGGCTCTGAGCTGTCAGCACAGAGCCCGACGTGGGGCTCGAACTCAGGAAATGAGAGATCATGACTCGAGCAGAAGTCAGACGCTCAACCGACTAAGTCACCCAGGCGCCCCTACAATTCTTCTTTTGGTGTCATGAAAGCCTGAGGTCTCCCAAAGATCTGTATCAATAGAGAATTCTGTTGCTGAGGGTCTGCAAAATGAAGCCACCTCACTGGCTTGGTGGGGATACCCATCTTGAAGCAAGAGTTGTGTTACTATACGTCTAACAATGCTGAGTTCCAAGGACATGAGGTAGCTGGCACTCAAGAAGAGACAAGGGTTAAATAAACACATATAGAGAACCTCGTGTGCTGAATGATAAACTGACTACAGGAGTAATCAGAATTCAGAAAACAGAGATTCCAGGGTGCGTGGGTGGCTCAGTCAGTTAAGCATCTGACTTGGGCTCAGGTCATGATCTCATGGTGTGTGAATGTGTGCCCTGCATTGGGTTCTGTGTTGACAGCTCAGGGCCTGGAGTCTGCTTCTGATCCTGTGTCTCCTTCTCCCTCTGCCCCTCCCCGACTCGTTCTCCCACTATCTCTCCATCTCAAAAATAAATAAATATGTTTTAAAAAGAACAGAAAAGAAAACAGAGACCCCATTGCAATAGAGATATTGGAGAACATCTCTGAGAGCCCTTAGTCAACCTTCATGAATGGGTGTGACTTAGTAGCAAAACAGAAAGGGCCACCATGTCAAGAAAGTAGAATGGCATGAGCCCCAGGAACAGTAAGAGTTACTTGACGTGCAGAAGGCAGTGAGAAAATCGCTTAAACCACCTAAAAGTTGTAGTTAGGGAACAACAATTATAAATCCTACCTATCAGCAGGCAGTCATATTATATCCTGAATACACAATCTATTAATAATTAGGGCTACTAGGGCAGAGATAGTTCAAGGTTCCTTTCCATTTTGGGTACTTTCAATCACGTAAAATTCATTTTAAATTAGCTACTCGCGAAGAGTGCGAGGTTATTAATAGCAAGGATAATGCAGGAGTGCCTATGTAAGCTTTGCCCATATATAAATAGCCTAGCTCTCCTGACACACCTCATCCCAGATCCCTGCTATTCCAGTCCTGGATCATTAAGTCCATTATGCAGAGCATTTCCTCAGTAACTAGCTTTTAAGACACTGAACTGGAAAACTCATGTTTACCAATAGAAGAGCTACAACGACCTGAATCCTGAGCATAAGCCAATAAAGGTGACACAGTGCCACCTGTGTTCCTGAACCTTCCCTGACTATCTCTTAAGTAGCACAGGGCATTTTTGAAAGGCACACTTAGGGGCTCCTGGGTGGCTTAGTCAGTTAGCATCTGACTTCAGCCCAGGTCATGATCTTGCATTTTGTGAGTTCAAGCCCTACATCAGGCTCTGTGCTGACAGCTCAGAGCCTGGAGCCTGCTTCTGATTCTGTGTCTCCCTTTCTCTCTGCCCCTCCCCTGCTTGTGTGCTCTCGCTTGTTCGCTCGCTCTCTCAAAAATAAACATTAAAAAAATTTGTTTTAAAAAGGCACACTTAATATATGGCTGCATAAAAGGGCCTTTTGTCAGAGGGGTGCCATTTTGTAGAGGAAAGAACTTCAGTGTAAGTAGTTAAATCTCATCGTATGATAGCTATTTGATAATCTTCATCTTCTCTTGCCACCCCTAATAAGAACATTTTTCGAAAATAAAATACTTAACAGATGTTTGGCAATCAAAAACAAAGAGTGAGGGGCTCCTGGGTGGCTCCGTCGGTTAAGTATCCGACACTTGGTTTCAGCTCAGGTCATGATCTCCCAGTTCATCAGTTTGAGCTTCGCACTGGGGTCTGTGCTGATAGCTTGGAACCTGCTCAGGATTCTCTCTTTCCTTCTCTCTCTGCTCCTCCCTTTCTCTTTCTCTCTCTCTCTCTCTTTCTCTCTCTCTCTCTCTCTCTCTCTCTCGCTCAAAATAAATAAATACGTAAAGAAACATTAACAATTAAAAAGAAAAAAAAGAATGTGGGGCACCTGGATGGCTCAGTCAGTTAAGCATCCGACTCTTGGTTTCGCCTCAGTTCATGATCTCATGGTTCGTGAGATTGAGCCCAATATCAGGCTTGGAGCTGGGAGTGGAGCCTGCTTGAGATTCTCCCTCTTTCTGCCCCTCCCCTGCTCACACCCTCTCCATCAAAACACAAAACAAAACAAAGAATGAACTGAGACCCTTGCTACCACTGAATAGTTGTAAAATGCATCATGACCCAAGTTTGATGTTTAGTAATTCAGCTGGATTTTGAAGGCTGAGTAAACTAAAGGGAACATGGGGTGCCTTGGAGCATTTCCAGCCCCCAGGCTCATAGGGGTAACCTACTGCCAACCAGTGTGCCCGTGAGGACCCATTCATCACATCGGCCTTGGACGTCAGCCCTCATAACCAGTTTGGTCTCGCTTTGAATAATGCTCATGTATATTATATACCAGTGAGTTAGACATTTGCCTAAAGAAAAAAACTAAGTGACTTTCAGATCGTCTATTTTCATTCCTGGTGACTGCTACCAGATTCTACAACAGCTCAACTGTTCACAGATGACTGTGAACTTCAGTGGAAGTCACGAAAATGAGGCCCTAAACACAGCTTTTCAAACCACTATCCTTTCCTATGGGTAATATACAACTTCTTCATCAGTGGTGGGGAAAATGGCGTTCTGCGTCTAAATTGAATCCAAATATCTTTATGTCATCACTTAGGGATACTTTTTAAAGCACGTTAATTTTGCTTTAGAGAGATGTTTCCCAGTAGAAATTCTTTTGACCCCATTTATCATCATCTATTTACCTCCAGTGATTCTCTTTCCTATTATGTCAAATAAAGCTGATTTTAAAGTTGGCTTTGGTTGTACTTGTTATTGACAGGATGTATGTGACAGCTGTCATGAGCAGCAAAGGCCATGCTTCCCCCTGGGGTTGTGAGAGAGTGTCAGCCTTGGTTGAATAACTCTTCTGGCCCACAGAAAGATTAAAACGTAACTTGTAGCTTTTTGGAACACAGTCATTTACTCTGCAGCCTTAGTGTCTGGGTTTTCTGTTTCTGAAAGCATCTGGCTTTCTGGATTCTTCCCTTACCAGGTAAACATGTTCGAGACCTTCTACACAGGTTCATTTAAAGCACCTTAATATCCCAGATCATCTGTGTCACATTTTTCATGGCATCATCTGTGGCATTTAATTGGAGGAGAAAATTCTATAGTTACTAAGCCATTAAAACCATTCCATTTTAGGAAAGCCTTAGCAACAGTTTACTTTTTGAACCTCTAGCAGACTTCACACATTGCTATTAGTTCCCCCAACTTATGTGGTGTGAGCTGAGTATACTAGATACAGTGATGATTCATGGTCTGTAACTCTGATGGAACCCTGACTTCTTAATCAAAAGTAATGTCATTTTTCCAGAAGACCCAAGTCTTCTGTCCTCTTAGAACCAAGCAAGGGTCTGGCAGCGTTATGGTCCCACCAAACAGTATTCCTTCAGAAGATTTTAGTACTCAGACGTGTTGTCCCTTTCCAGACACGCCCTTGTCCCCTATACCTCCTGCAGGCCTGCTATGCTGGCTTCTCCTTTGCTCCCGGGCTATATCATCTGAACAATAGTACCAGTTTCTCTGAATGTGAAAAACAAAATACCTCATACAACTCAGTAAGGCATCATTTAGTTTCAGGTTTTTGAAGATCTGTTTTGATAAATACATTTACAGCTATCTCTAGGAAATTAAATCGGCTCAGATATGTTTCTGTTGTGTTTTGTTTTGTTTTGTTTTAATAAAAATCTGCCCTAAGGTGAGAGGAGAGTAAGAGAACAAGCAATGACTTCTGTCCTTCCTGCCCCAATGTTTCTGCGATGATTCGAGCTGCCATTTTATATGTGTGTGTTTGACATCGCCCCCTTTCAAACCAAGGGTTGAGGAATGATGGCATATTTACGAAGCAGCGACATTTCACGACCTAGGTTTTTGTTATCGTGTTTTATCTCTTTCCCTCTCCCTCACCACACACGTATGCACACACAGCTCAAACAAACCTTGACACGGGGAAAGCAAGGAATCAAGCACTTGCCCCATCTTAGACAGAAAAAAGGAAAAATGACTCGTTTTCTTCTCCACTGCTCCCAGCTCTCCTATTCAGTACCTCTCGGTACTCATTACTTACTTGGCATTAATGTGGATTTAGAATCTAATTTCAAAGGATTTCCTCCAGATGTAGTTCTTGTGTTTATCAATAATGCAACCTTGGGAAATATTGTTCATGTAAAGCATTTAAAGGAAAACACCACAGCGACACAATTTCTGTGTGTGTGTGTGTGTGTGTGTGTTTGTGTGCACATGCTTAAGTTCAAACAGTTTTGTCTCATAAATATGTAAATTCAGCCTGCCTGTTTTAGTATCCCTGAAGCACACCTGAATATTGCTGCCTGTCTCATTAAATCAACATAAAGAGCTCACTGAGGCACAAAGCCCAGGTTTCTCCTGGCCACAACTCCGGGAACTGGATAACTAACAGCCCCCAGTGTGAAATGAGGAGGCAGACAGACTAGAACCAGCACCGACCCTCGCCTTTGGGTACACTTTATAGACAAGAAACTGGCCAGAACCTATTTTCGAGTTTAATTAATGCAGATATCAATTTAACAACAGAACCAGAGATTTACCATAAGGTCCTTGCCATATAGGAAGCAGAGAGAAAAAAATCAAATGAGGATCACGCCTCACACTCAGGGTAATATATCCACTGAATGAATGACTCACAACCCGCTCAGCAGAACTGTTTGTATCACTGATTCTCAAACTTATCTGGGCATCAGAATCATCTTTAAAAATACAGAGATCAAGGCCCGGCCCCGAGGGGACTACAATAGGTTGTGGGCAAAACTGGGAACTCTGTGCTAAGTATAATTTATTATATTTGGGGAGTGTTTTAAAACGTTTACTCAGGAGTTTATTTCTTTAACTCTGAAGCCAGTTGTGCCTTGAAAAATAGATAAATATGATGATTAGTTCATTATTGGGCTTCTTCGTCTTAATAACTGCTTGTTTTGTTACAGAAGAACTATAATTGCTTATTATTCTCTGCAAAATCGTGAGACCCCATCAGTTGTAGGTAGTTGGTTCAATGGGTGGAGAGGAAAGCAAGCTAAAAACAGCAAAAATAAATCATGGTTGTATTTAAATTAGGGGCCCTAAAGCAGAAATTTTTAAAAGGTACCATTTTCCTCTGTGATAATTATAAGTAGACATCTATTAAATTTCTAATGTTCTCCATTCTGCATTTCAAGGAATGCTTAGACAGTATATGTAACAGTAGTGCAAATACAGACAAACTTATGTTATCTTTATATATATCTTGCACCATTGAAAAATTATCTATGGGGGCCCCTGGGTGACTCAGTCGGTTAAGCGGCTGACTTCAGCTCAGGTCATGATCTCACCGTTGGTGAGTTCGAGCCCCATGTTAGGCTGTGTGTTGACAGCTCAGAGCCTGGAGCCTGCTTCCAATTCTGTGTCTCCCTCTCTCTCTGTCCCTTCCCTGCTCATGCTCTCTCTCTGTCTCCCCCTCAAAAATAAATAAACTCTCTCAAAAATAAATAAACAGTAGAAAAATTATTTATGGGATAGAGTTCATAATAGTCTGACCTTCACATGACTCTAAAAAAAAAAAATTGAGCATAGCATAGAAAAAGGCAGGGAAATGTAGAAGAAATACTGGACCATAGTCAGGTTGCCCTGTTTTAGTCTTAGCTCTGTCACTAACCCTATAGCTTTAGGAAGATGGCTGTCTTTGGGACTGGGAGTGGGCTCCATATTTTCATCTGTACATAAGGTACATGGTGATTTAAAACCAAAGTCCTCTTCTACTGTGATGAGGCCGTGTAGTTTCCAAATGTGAAAACAGCCTAGCTCTCCACTAAGGAATGTGTGACCTTGCACAAGGCCCTTCATCTTCTGACCTCAGTTTACTTCTCTGTACATGCAGGCAAGTTAGATTTTTAAAGGAAAGGGGTATTAGAGATCCTAGTCAAATATACTTTGGGGAGTCCACACTGTTGTTACTCTGTGGCTTTAATGTGGTTTTAATAAGCACACTTCTTATTTGTGATTGTTTCTAACCTCACGCTAGAATTTGCAGAAAAGAGGTTAACATACAGTCACATGCTAACTATTTTGCTTGGCCATGAATAAGCCCAGCTAAGGAGTAGACACCTAAAGAAAATAAGTAACTTGCCCAAGATCACATGGAGAATTGATTGGAATCGTGTGCCTCCACATTCAGTTTATAAGACTCATACTCCTCACAGTGTATGTAGTCTCAGAAGATTCTTATGCTCCTTAAAATCTGAATATCAATGATCTACAATAAACTACAAAGCCCTTAGCACAGCAAGCGAGAATTCATGATTTGGTCACTGCCCTACATTTGCATCATCTTCAGCCACTCGCTGTCTACCCTAATCTATCCCATCTCTGTCTCATCTCCGTCCTTTTGGGCCTATCCTGCTCACTGCCCGGAGTGCACACCCCCTTCCTTTTTCTATAGCTTGCTCTGTATTTACTTCCAGGCTCAGCTTGAATATCACTTCTTCTGTTGATTTCCCAGTTCCTTTCCTGGCCTGTCCTCCCTTTTGACAAGGCTATACCCTCTGCCTTCCCTTAACCTCCAAGGCATCCCTGTATTTGTAAGAGTCAGATACTATATCATAATCCGACGGCTGCTATTCTGTCACTAGACTGTGAGCTGCCTGGTGGCAGACACAGTTTTATTTCTATAAACTTAGAGCCCCCATCAAGCATAGCTCTCCAGTGGACACTCATTAAATCTCAACAAGGAACCGGTGACCAGCATCTGTAAAAGGCCTCAAGTCAGCATTGGGAATGGATTCCCTCTCCTCCCCACCCTACCATGTTCCATCCACTTTTTATGACCCCCAACAGATGCCGGCCACCATGTTGTCCCGCCCAACTCCTAGACCCACAATGTGAGGAATTACCCAGCACTGCGCTGTTCAGCACAGTAACAACTAACCACGTGTGGATACTTAAATTTAACTTGATGTAAAGGACAAATTCAGGTCTCTACTCACGGTAGCCGTATTTCAAGTGCTTAATAGCCACGTGGCCAGTGGCCACCACATTGAGCAGCACACACACGGAACACTGCCAACATCACGGACAGTTCAGCGCTGGCTTAAGAGCCCCCAAGAAACACCCCTCTCACTAAAATGAAGAACTGGAGACAATGACCTTGCAATTGAATCGTTTAGTCCTGAGAAAAAGATACTAGCAACCAATTAAGAGTTGCAGATATGTGATGGATAAAAGCTGGACAGCTGCATCTTAGTAAGAAAGGTTTTTATTACTGTTATTCTGTACATAGGCAAGAGTCGGACAAGATAACCTCTGTAGCTGCTTTTACTCACTGATAATTGAAATGTAAGTTTTATTGTATTTATAAGCCTATTTGCCTGACTTCTCACAATCTCTTTTTAGAATCTGGGAAGATTATAGGACAGAATTAAAGGATCTCAGTTTTCTTATTTATGGTAACGCTGCAAGGGAATTATAAGTCAATTAATGGTGATTTTAAGAAATAGATTTAGGGAGATCTCTCTTATCTCCAGGAACACTAACAGCCTCACCCCAGTTGGGAGTTTAACCTTTTACAGAATTGATGTCTGTTATTTTATTTGGCTTGTCATCTCTCTAGTATGATTCTAAGCACCACAGATTCAGGATGAATTAAATGGTTTGCTCAATGGAATGGAGGTGAATTGCGTTTGTGTTAAATGTAATTATAAAGATTTCTCAGCAAAAGATAATAGGAGTGTTTATCTTCAGGAACCAGGTTTCTTTTTTCTGACCTAAACCAAACTTGGTCAACAACTTACTTTCTCTTGGCCTTTTGGCCCAACTTTTATTAACATTATTATAAATACAAATGACACACACACCCTGTAACATTTGTTCTGAACTGAAGAATAAGCGTTACATGATGCCTGTGTTCGTGACCAACACATGACAGGGCGGAGGGGGCACTGCTCCTACTGTCGGCGTGAAATGTGAACCCATCCCTTGATTATGGTCCTGGCAAATGAAATTCACACAGCCCTAGAAACCCCACAGTATAACTGTTTGCTGGCGGTAGGGGAGGTCTTTGAGTTTTAAAGAAAGGCATGGCATGTTTAGAAGCCTAAGCAATGCAAAAAATGGAAAGCAACCATTTCTTCCTGCCCAGAGCCTTCTTAGCAGCTTTTCATCCTTAGTCCTGACCTTGCAAGGCTAGAGGGATATACAAGAAGTGTGTGTCTTTCATGCTGTCTATTTCTGGGAGACACCTGGGAGTGAGCATGCCTACCTATGGAAAGAAACGTGGCAGAAATTGGATACTTCACTGTTGTGCCTCTTTTCTCTTCCCTGCCCTATAGGAAGTGGTTTCAGATGAAAGGCATCAAGGTGGACAGCTTCTGGAAGAACCAAAGTTGCTGCATTTCAAAGGGAATACCTTTAGTCTTCAGATCTCTGTCCTTGACATCCCCCCGTTCCTCTGGAGGATTAAACCCTTCACTGCATGCCAGGTACTGGCCAGATGGGCTGCTAACAGAAATGGCTCTGCTTTAACCCACAAGCATGTCACAAACCCTGGCGAGGGCACTCCTAACTAACCTCCTCCTTTAAAAGTATGGGTTTAACCTCAAAACTGTCACAGAAATGCAGCAGTTTGGACTACACACAGGGAATTAATCATATTGTCATAAGTTCACGGGTTTCTAACGGGGGGGGGGGAGGTACGTGATGCCACGTAATGGAAATTTTCTCCCACTTAAGGGAGGTTGGTTTATGAAAACCAGTTCATTACGAGACATTGTTTTCATCCTGGTCAGCAGTAAACGATCTGGAGGTCGATGCTTTTAAGGGTGACAGTTTTGAGATGTAGGGAGCCCGGGCTGGCCAGGTAGGAACAAGAGATTTTGTCCTGAATATATGAAGTGCTTGCGGTCATGTATGTTGGGCAAGGTGGGAAGAAGAAATTATGAACTGAGAGGCTAAGGAAGAATGCCTCTTAGAATCCCTTTACAAACATATAAAGATATTTCTATATTATTGTTCACATATCTCCGTATCAGAGAATTTTTAAATGTTGCAAAATGGCTTAGAGTCTTCTCAGATGACTTTTAGGGAATTTGAGTAATTGCTTAGCATAGAAAGATCTCTTATCCATGTGGGACCCTGCCACCGATTTCTCTAGAAATTCCTAGTGATGGGTACCATCAGCAGCAGCAGCAGCTGGCTGGTCCACAAGAGTTTCTTAAGCCAAAGTCATCTGTGCTTCAGGTGACAGGACATGTCCTTAACTTTGGAAAAGCTTCTGGTGGGCTCATATTGATCTGGAATCACAGGAGGCTTTCACACATCTTTGTTGTGTCCGTCAACATAGCCTGCAGAGCCCTGGAGGGTTTTAACCTTTCCATCCATGCAGCATTCATTAAAAAAAAAAAAAAAGAAAGAAAGAAAGAAAGGAGAAGCTTGCACCAGGTAAACCAGCTTGTCAGAATGGGAATGAGGCCAGTCACGGAGAGAAAAACCTTGGCTGAGCCACGAGCGTTAGAAAAGAGTTGAACCACCAATGCTCTCACCTTCGAAAATTCACCGTTTTGAAATTGGACAAGGTTGTATTTTCCTGTTTACTTTACAGGCTTCTCATTACCTGGGGGATTGCCCCTCTGTGTACTCTTTCAGGACATTCAGGGCAATTAGAGCATCTCTCGTGGCTCCAAACAACTTTTTTTGGGCACGTTCCCTATGGCAATAGGTTTTCTGTGAATAAATGTATTGTTTATGATGTTCTGAGACCTAGGTGTTTCTGTATCTGGGAAAGCAGCATTCAAAGTTTCCAGTCCAGATTGAACTTTAGGGCACTGTTACAAATCCTGATAGTCCTGTAAACTCCTCTGTACTAATCTTTGTAGGCTTAAAGGCAGCATTCCACTGGATCTAATGCAAGTGGCTCAGTCCAAAGTAACTATCAAGTTTAATGTTTAGAGATAAAAAATCAGATGAAAGAACCATCATCTTGCACGAGCACTTAAACAATAATTCCAACACCAGGGATGCCACGGGAAGCCCAGGGCAGGAAAGGCATGGGGGTGCTAAGAGCCTGTGGACCTCAGAGGATACAACAGGGCCAGCCAAAGCCAAAGGACATTGGCTCACAAGGAAACCCAACACGCTTTACTGCCAGGATGGGTTGGATTGCCCGGACGTTGGGAACTCGGATAAATATTTGCCTTCTGTAATTGACCAGAATTTGCAAGAGTCTTGGAAGGCTGAGAAATAATTTAATTTTCTCTGCACCAAGAGGTTTGCCACTGAGTTTTCATTTCCACTCCATTTTACTTACCCACAAATGGCTTTCTGCTCCATTCCTTTTTTTTCTCCCCCCTCACCACCTCAGCCTCCAGTTTTCTTGCCCCTGCCATCATCACTGAAATCCCCTTGCTTATGTGAATACATATTGTGCTGGTCTTAACGGCCATGCTGTGTTTGCTCCAGGCATCAGATGTCAGCACTTTGGGGAGGGTGTGTGTTCATCCTGCTTGAACCTCGTGTAGAACATGATGTGTACTGACAAACTTGGCGTGGATGATAGAGAATGGCTTTTCATTAGGGCTTAGTGGATGGGAACTAACCAAGAGCTATTACAGAGGCAGAAAATCTCACTCTTCCTGACATCACTTATAGGTCTCTCCTTCACCTGGTAAATCTCCCTGTCATCTTCTGCCGTCTTCCAACTCAGCACGCGGAAGACCACTGGGCTTCCTCTCCCCCTTTCTCTAACTTCAAGCCAGGAATCTGAGAAGCAACATATTCCAATTGGTACCCAACGCCTACTCTCATAAGAAACCTTACTTTCTTCTTCTCAGAAAGGTAGAGTTTACCAAGAATTTTCAGGCCTGGGAGATACGCACTGCCTAGAATATTTGCCCTGTCGGACATCAATCAACTGCATGAGAAATGTTTTAGAACAGTGTGAATTGAGGTTGGATCCAGAGCTGTGTGAGGAGACCCTGTGTATAGGCAGACCGACTAGCTTTGAAATCTTGTTGGGTTAGATTCCGGAGGATTACATTTAATGAAATACTGTACTACAACCCTTATTGCCCATGAGGCCAGCTGTGATGGCTCCAGGAAGGCTACATGAGTTCTTAGGAGAGCTGGTTACAGCAGCACCCATTGACTTTGATCCAAAGGAAAGATTCTAGTCTTCCCCCTGCAAAAATACCAGTATCCCTTCTCTTCTTCTCAGGTTTTTAAGACTTGACCCCAGTGAGAGAGATGCTATCGTCCCCTCCACAGATTTAGCAGACCTCGTCTAGGAGGTCAATAACTCTGCTCTCAATCGGTTAGCAGGACCTAGGTGCTACTTAATCACACATTCCGCTATTTCTTGCTGACTGTAGGGTACAGAAGCTGCAATAAACAGTATACAATATTATTTTTTTTAATCCTACAAAACACAAAGTCAGGCTTTCACCTCCCTAGGATAAAAGCAGCTGTCTCTTCAGCATGCTTTGTGTCTTGGGCAACCCAGTGTCTGTCTCCTGCTAGGATGTGATTTACATTCTCTCCATCTGCTAGGAACCTAATTATAATGGGAATCAAAATGAAAACATTTCCGGAATTCTTTAAACACCCATAACTTTGCTACACTTGGTCCTCCCATATTACTTGTGACAGCATTCCTCTTAGCTCAGTGAGCATCTTGATAGTTTTTTTTTTTTTTAATAAATAAATAAAAGCAAAGATGATTGCCCTGAAAACACACTAATTTCAGTACTTCTACTTCCATTACTTTGAAATGTTCTGTCGAGCACTACCGGCAGTGGCTACTCGAGCCAACAATTAAATATATATATATTATTTTTGATACAGTCTTACAATCAGGTTTTTAAAATGTTTTCACTGAGTGCAGTGGAACGTAAAGAGAAAAGAGAGGATTTTGTGTGTGTGCTGAGTCTCATGTCTCTCTGCGAGGAAAGATGATCTCTACAAGTGGGCATTTTTCTATTACCTTTCTTGCAATGTTTACTGGAGAAAATATAAGAAATGTAGCAAATGATACCAGAGAGGACACTTTTCAGTAATAAATGGTCAGTGCCGTTGTTGTTGTTTAGGAAGGTAAGCATTATCAAGTGTTCAAATCCACTGCAGAAAATGCAGGGGTGGGGGGGAGGCAGTTTAAGAGCAGGACCTTGAATTCAGCTCTGTCTGGCCCTGAAGCCCAACAACTTTTACTATGCTGTAACTACTCAAATTTCAGTTTAAAAAACCAAAAACCTTCTTAGTGTTCTTAATTAGGCAAAAGCACCTATTAACCACAGAGCCCCGTGTTATAGTTACTTTCATGAAAGGGGACGGTGCAAAGTAACTCTATAAAAAGTGTACTGGTTTGAAGCAGAGTCCATTTGAGGGCTATTGAAATGAAATGGGACCGTAGATAATGGACGCCCTTGAGACTGTTTAATATGGCGGGCATCAGGGGGCCATACAGGGCCCCCATGCAAAGGATTCTTGTAATGAAAGCAAGAATGCTGGTAATGCTAGTGTCCCCCACTCGTGATTAGAGGTAAAAAAGATACTGCAATGCTATTTCCTGAAGAACGCCAATCCGCTGCTTCCTGTTTCCCTCTACGGTCAAGCCCTAACCCCCTCATTAGCTCAGTATGGTAGAGACTGAAGGCAGGAGACTGGGGAGTGGGTCACTACAGTTAGCTCTAATGAGGAGAGATGAGGATCCTTAATGGGGATAGGAAAATTGGAGAAGGACAACGACAGTGAACGGTGATAGTCAGTTTTGAAGATAGTAAAGGCCAGATAAAATGATTTGTAGTGACAAAGAGTATAATGTCGGTGATGGATAATAATGAGATAAATTCCAGACATGTAGCTCTTGCGAGTTCTCCACAGAGAGGTGGCAGTGGGCATCTGTGAGCACACAGGACCTTGAAGAGTTCAGGAAGCAGACACAGAAGTGTGGGAGGCTGAGATACGAAGTAAGGGTTGCCCACAGTTTACAAAATGGAAGAAGCCTTAGGAGGAGAAGCACGAAAAGAGTTGGGTTGAACAAGAAGAAATGGTAGAACTTGTAAACACGTATCATTATTTCTTTTATCTGGTGTGGGATTTGGTGCAGGTGAAAAGTCACTTTCGCATGTTGTTGGGAAAATGACTTCCTCCAAAGATTGCCGGGGGGCCTCCCCAACTGGACCTTCTCTCAGTCCTTGTCTCTGCTTCTTGAGACAAAACCCCACTGCCTCTCCCTTGGCTCAGGATGAAGAACAAAGGAAACAAAGCCACAAAGCCCTTATGCTTCTTGCCGGGATGTGTGGTAGGGGTTAGTGCGTGACTTTCTTTTCTTCAGACTGCCCCAAGCGAGCGCTCTGCCCTTCGAGTGGGCAAAAATCAAAGCCTGCCCCTCCTTGCTGGTTCCCCCAGGAAGCATCCCAAATCCAGATCCGTGAGACTTCCAGCAGAGAAAATTAGGAACCAGTGTGCACATCAGAGCTCACAAAAAACGAGGTGACTCCCAGTTCCTCAAAGTGAGCAAATTGAATTTTTTTAAATTTTTTTTTTTCAATCAAATTGAATTTTAATCATGGCCCCTGGTCTTATGATCCGTGATGGCTTCATCACCAGTCACACTAAAGAGTATCAAACGTCCAAACTTGAGACATCTTTTGCCACCCGTCAGTGTCAATATTGGAAGAAATTATATTAATAGCAGCAGGTAAAAAGCACATTCATGAGATGAGAAAAAGAAAAAGATGGAGATGAACGTTATCAGAGGCTGGGCCCCTGTGCTCATTGCCAAGAATCTGAGCTTGATTTGAGTAGGAAGGAGAGACCTTTTAGATGAAAGAATATCAACGACTGACCTCTGCTTCGCATTATTGTAAAGCCACGTGCCTGAGCAGCACTGGCAAGTAAGGGGTCGGGGGGAAAGGGTGGTGTATGTAGATTTTATTATGTTCCCCCTCATTTAGTAAAAATTGCTTTTGCCACACTTAATTATCTGTAGGTCCCATGACAGTAGAGAATGAACCTCGTTTTTTATTGTTTATCTTCTACAGTGTCTGGTCATTAGCGGGCACTATACACATAATTGTTGGCAGTTGAATTGTGTGAATGAGGAGTTGGCAAACAAGACTGCTGTGGGCAGCCTAGTGTGTTTGTGTCTCTCTCTGGGATGTGTGTCTGTGTGTATGTGATTGGCATTGGGTGAAATTCTTTTGCTGGTTACATTAGCAGTATTGTGGCCTGTTTATACAGTTGTATGAGTTTGTGGTGTTGGGGTAAGTTCTGATAGGTCTGTTCTTTAGTATAATTTTCATTAAAGTGAAAAGCTATCATCCTACTCCAGGCTTAGGGAGAAGGACGGACCACTGGAGTCTTCTAAAGAATGTTTTCTTTTTTTTTTCTTTTTTTTTAGTGGAAAAACATGAGGATTAATTTTTTATAGTATTCTCATTGTGTGTGTCACCAAATGAAATCTGAGTGCTTGCGCTGTGGTTTTGGAATTCAAATGTTATCAATTGGAATTGACATTAATTACTTTTTGTGCTGCTTGGCATATGCTGGAACATTATTTCTACAACAATTCCACCAAAGTCGCTTAGGCAATTATCTCTGCTGCAATCACTGTCATCATCCTCATAATTATCGCTCTTAAGTCTCTCCTATTCGCCAGCCATCTCGGCCGGGCTCTGCACGCCACACGCCTCTTCTTCCCCCCCTTTCCCCGCAGGAGGTACCGTTCTCCCGCGTGTGGTGCAGTAACCAACAGCCCCTGCACTGTGCCTTCTCCCTGGAGCGCTACACACCCACCACCACCCAGCTGTCCTGCAAAATCTGCATCCGGCAGCTCAAAGGCCATGAACAGATCCTCCAAGTGCAAACATCAATCCTAGAGGTGAGTCCTCCGTCTGCACGACCACTTGACTCCATTTCTCAAGGACAGTAAGAGTAATGTGCCTGTTTCAATCGTGCTACATAGGTTGTAAAAGAGCTTCCAAATGCACTCGCTCTTAATCCTCATTACCGACCAGGGCAAATAAACTTTTTCTCAGGCTCAGGAGTGAGCTGAGCTCCCCGATGGGCGAAACAACTCAACGCGTCAGAGCTTCAGCTCTGTGGAGACACTTTTGGGGAAAGAACTGGTACAGGGCTTTTTATACACAAAACCACAAACAATCTAATCATCCACTGCAGGCTTGGACCGGAGAGTCATCATTGGCTGATGGTACGTTATGGCAGATACATACCATGAAGAAGCACAAGGTCACCACTGGGTGGTTTTTCTGCTGGTTCTCACTAGTCTTCCAGAAGTCATCTTCAGGGGATTGGTTCCCTACTGCCTTACAGTTTCTCACATCCTCCAGGTTCAGGGTTCTGCAGAGCCCCATTTCCATTAAATCTAGATTCATCGATGCTATAACATAGGACAGAGTCGATAGAAGTTTCTTTCTACAAAGTAAGGCAATGGAACTGCAGAGAGGGAAAGGGTATTGTCCAAGGTCGTGTCACTATTGAAGGGCAGAGTTAGAATGGGAGTCAGGGGGGCATTCACTTGGGAGTTTTTGCACAAAGACACCTGATGTCTGCCATGGCTCTGATTTACCTAAATCACTGAATGGCTTCGTGGCTGTAGACTTGGGCTTCTAGAGTAGACACCGGCATTCCCTCCTGAATGGTTGTTTGAGGGGAGAGGGAGAGAGTAGCTGAGAGGCAGAATGAAGGGAGACATGGAATGCTTTTCTGAGCAACTCTTAATCCCTGGCTAGTGGAGATGAGCACATTCTATTGTTCAGCAGTAGAATATGTACATATGTGTGTGTGTGTACAGACACAGATATGTATAAATATATACATAATATATATTTATTCATTCGGGCTTGGCAAATGGCGTAATAAGTTTTATATATGTACAACTCAATTTCGTAGCCTTACAAAATCATCACTTCTCTCCATTCTCATTTTAATTCATTGTTTACGCAAGATGAGTCTTGCTAATTCCCCAAATAGGTTTTCTGAAGAGTGGATGGCTTTCCAAAGGATTGCACCTCAAAATTGATAGCTGTCTTAACTGACATGTTTGTACAGTATTTGCATTCATTATTGCCAATTAGCATTATGTGCTAAAGCAGTTTTGATGGGAAAGGTAGATCCAGAAAGGTAGGGTAGGATATTTTTAGAGTCTCTTTCTTGAACAGTCCTGGCATCTTGAACATAATACATTTCAAAGTAAAATGAAAAATTTTAGGAAAGTTTTAACATAAACACAAAAGGAAAGCCCAAGCAGATTTTCCTTCTCGTATTCAGAAGCAAGTGTGAAAAGACAGGACATGAAGATGCCTCTGATGCAAATTGCCCTAAACGTCTATTCACAGGTCAATGAAACAATTCCACGTTTAAGGGGCTTTTATTCTTTAAGGCGCTCACAATATTGCAGACCAACTTCTGCTATTACAGGAAATCTTTATGTAAAAGGAATGTGATAGGCTCCATACATCATGGTACCTCTGCTCCTTGCTTAAACAAATTTTTGGAGTGCAAAGTGCATGGAAGGAAAGTGAGCTAATAAACACAATCATGCCCTTTACTCTCCATCTCCTTGTCTAATGCTTCGCAAGCTTACAATCACTTTGCAATGCCTTGAAAAAGACGACATCGCAGTATCTCTTGATAATAAGAGGCCAGCCTCAGAAAAATACTTAGTCACCGTTGGGCTACCACCATCCGTTCTGTATATGCCTTTTAGAAGCTTTATTACCCTTTTCGTCCTGGAAGGATCACATTACTAATCACTTCAAGTGTTACTGCTTGCATTTGGCCCAGCACATCCCCATCTCTTTGTAATAAACCATAGTTCTTAGGCAAATCTGTTATTTTCTGTGTCAGAAGAAAATTAAGAACTTTTGAGGGGCGCCTGGGTGGCTCAGTCGGTTAAGCGGCCGACTTCAGCTCAGGTCACGGTCTCACGGTCCGTGAGTTCGAGCCCCGCGTCAGGCTCTGGGCTGATGGCTCAGAGCCTGGAGCCTGCTTCTGATTCTGTGTCTCCGTCTCTCTCTGCCCCTCCCCAGTTCATGCTCTGTCTCTCTCTGTCCCAAAAATAAATAAACGTTAAAAAAAAGTTAAAAAAAAAAAAAAGAAGAAAATTAAGAACTTTTGAAAGCTGCTGTATGTCAGGTACCATTTCATGTGCTTTCACATATAACCACCCTAACTCTGTGTGGATTAAATACCATACTATCACAATTTGACATGATGTAACATTCTCAGAGAGGTCAACCTTCTTGTCCAAGATGATAAAATGAATAATGGGGAGACAGAGTTCCCAACGGAGATACCGGCCTTCAAGGTCAAAGTCTGGATTTCCATACTAGACTACTTCAGGATCTCAGTCAAGGAAGTCTAATTTAGCAGTCCTGAATGTGGGCCTTGTCCATAACGTAAGCCTTTGTTTTAGTGGCCTTAGGCACTAGTGACAAAAATGACACCGTTAAAATTTTATCTTTAAGTATGCAAGTAGGTGAAAATTGGGAAGTTCTTTCCTCAAGACTGTAGAAGGATGGCATGGGCTGGAATAAGTGATCATTTGATAAGTCTTCAAGAACAGAATAGATTTCTCACATGGCAGTCCTCCTGCAAAGAAGGGTCTCGAGCAAACGATCACTCATGATCCTTCCAACCCTAGAATTGTTTCACTCTTGGCAGAAGCATACGTCTGGTAAAAGATCCAGTTGAATACAAAGCATCCCCTTCTCCTTAAAAATGTCTTGGATTTCTGGGGCGCCTGGGTGGCTCAGTCGGTTGGGCGGCCGACTTCGGCTCAGGTCATGATCTCGCGGTCCGTGAGTTCGAGCCCCGCGTCGGGCTCTGTGCTGACAGCTCAGAGCCTGGAGCCTGTTTCGGATTCTGTGTCTCTCTCTCTCTGACCCTCCCCCGTTCATGCTCTCTCTCTGTCTCAAAAATAAATAAAAACGTTAAAAAAAAAATTAAAAAAAAAAGGTCTTGGATTTTTGTGACAGATGGTCCCAGAAAAAAAGAAGATACATAAAGCGCTACAAAATCGGGATTACCTATGGTGGAGACAAGATACATTCTAGACATGACCCTCTGTCGATCGGGGAGGTGGGAATAATAGATCAGGTGTTAAAGTGCATATTTTATAACCTCTAGGCCAAAGGTGCTTTTAATAAGCTAGTGATTAGGTGCTTTTAAGAAACTAGTAACTAGGGTTTTGTTGATTAAAAATAGCAATATTAACAATAATAAGGAAGTAAATATTTTGAAGCTTTCAATAGATACCTGAATTTTTTTTTTTAATCATCTGCCCTTCATCCCCCAAAACAAATCCCTGCATATTTAAGCACAGGGCCCTCAGCTCCTTCCTAACTTTAATGGATGTCCTAGTGTCTGTTTCATGGGTTTAACAATGGAGGTAATTTAACAGGAGAGGTAAAAGAGATACATATATACGTGTATCATTATCTGTAAAATATTTATTTTAAATATCTAAATCAGCGCAATGATTATCCTCTTTGAAGGCCTGTGGTTCTTAGTGTTCAGCCTCATATCCATCATATTCTTCCATGCCTCTCATGTAAATGGCTTTCCACATGAATATAATCATTCATGCCATTCTCAGACTTAAAAATTATTTCAGTGATCAAGATAATGTATTTTTTTTTCTGTTCTTTAGAGTGCCCATTATTGGGTCAATCTGTAGAAGCAGGTTGATTTTCTTTAAATGTAACCTCACTGAATTACCTAACAATGATCACCAACTGATTAGTCTGTAAAAGCAACAGTATCACCGATCTAAAAATTGGGGACTGGAGCAAAATAATTTTACTAAACGTGAAGAGAAGGAAGGAATCGCTAAGTAATTTACTACATCCTTCCTTATTGATGTAATAATATTGAAGAATACCATTTTGGGGAGAGAAAGAACTTATATGGGAACTTACAATTTTCCCTTCAAGCAATTCTCTTATCTTTCTTCCAAAAGTGGTGGAAGGTTGGGGGATGATTTTTCTGTTACAAAATAGACATAATACTTGGAATTTCTCGTTGATTTACAACTCCCCAGCTAGCCAAGTAGCAGCCGCTTATCTCAGATGTGCAGAGCATGGAAATCTGCTGTTCCTTTGCATATTTAATTTAAACAATCAGAAAATGTGATGTATCTACAGGATTCTTATTACGTGGCCCAGATGTCTTTTAGAACGCACCGTAAATGTTACATAAAGTGTCATCCTTGTGCATGGCAAATATTGAAATTTGGAAAGTTTACGAGAGAAAGGGGGGCCCACCTATTAAAGTGTAGGAAAGAGAAAAAATCCTGAAGAGTCAGTCTTCGTAACATTTTTTCACTTTGCAGTCATAACCACCTCTGTCCTGAAGACTATGTATCAGGGTGGCCTTTCCCCTGCCAACAGTAACGTCAGAGCTTGGTCAGCTTGATCAACTCAATGAGGCCATAAAAGCTCCCCAAAGCCCATTCTATTGCAGTCCTTTGTCATGGACACATACAGTGTTTTCAGTTTTCATTGGCAAGCCACATTTTCACATGTTAACACTGTTTGGTGCCCTTTCCCAGTGACAGCTACCATGTTATCTTGCATAGAATCCCTTTTTTTTTTCCTCTTTAGTTTCTACCATCTTTTTTAAGGACATCAGCCTGCCTTCAGTCAGGAAATTTAAGGAAACTATTTTTACTTGATTTACATTTTTAAAGGCTAAAAGAAATTTTACAAACCATGATTCAAAATGATGTTCCTCATAACCTCTTTTGTTCAGTAAGAAGCCTGAGTTGGTTCATTTTATAACCGTCCAACATATCAGAAAAGAATCACTCATTTTGCCTAAAATAACTAGTTACCCACTCAATTTCTTTTCAATCAATGACTACTCATCCTTCAAGGCCAACCCAAATGTCTCCTCCAGGAAGCTGTCAGGAATGAGGTACACACTTTCTTGCCGGCTATTGGACTGGGGTCACTCTCAGCTTCTAGGGGGTGCCCTCAGGTCCTCGCCCCATGTCCCACTCTATAGGCATTTCACAGCCTGACTATTTGCTTTCCTCCAGGCCAGCAGGAGAGATGCCTCCAGATAAGAGCTGCTTCTTCTCTCTTCTAAGGGCCACCTGATTAGGTCAGGCCCACCCAGAAAAAAATACCTCTTGCTCAGGATGTAGTCAACTGATTAGAGACCTTAAGTACATCTGTAGAATCCCTTGTGTCTTGTAACACATCATAATCACAGGCGTGATTCAGTTAGATACTTTTCAGGTTTTAAAATTCTGTTGGTTCATATAAATTTATCAGCAGCTATTGCAATCTGCTGGATGTCTGCATGGTCTCATGTTAGATACGATTGCTGGTATGTATGGAAATAACCAATCCTCATCAGAGAGCTCTAAATCAGAAGCGGGTTGGGCAGACAGCAGGCAGAAGCTTTCCAGCCGGCACCAGTCCTCAGGCTAGTCTAGACCTCATCACTGACCACGTATTACCAAAGCAATGTCATTCTGAAACAAGACCAAAATATTTACTATGGAATCACACACTTCTCAACTCAGACGGGTCAACACAAACTTTGAGATGATCAATATACAATCAGTTCCCCTTTGTAGCTTTTGTGACAGGTACCTGCCCAGCTAGCTCCTTTGGTTAGCCCGTTCATCTTAGGTCAGCTCTGTCAAAGAGTCATTCCTTACATTGAACTAAAATCTGTCACTTGGGGGCTTCTTCCTACTGATTCTAGATATATCTCTGAGAGACAAAGGAAAAAAAGAAAAGAAAAAAGGTTTAATTCTGCTGTCACCTGACATCTCTTTGGATGTAGAAGGCTGATGATTATGAGTCCCCTGATTGGAAGCCACATTGTAAATCTCCAGTACCTGATTCACCAGGCTACTAGAGAAGTTATTTACAGTTTTAGAAGAAAGGGGAACGTGTCAGTGTATTTTATAGAGCCCATCACTATAGGCAAGCGTTTTGTGCATGGTGTTAATAGATTTTCATAAAAAAATAACGGTGTCGATCAGTCATGCTTCCATTCAGACCTGACCATGCTTTCTTTGTTTGTAGAGCGAAAGAGAAACCATCACTTTCTTTGCACAAGAGGACAGCACTTTCCCTGCACAGACTGGCCCCAAAGCCTTCAAAATTCCCTACTCCATCAGACAGCGGATTTGTGCTACATTCGATACCCCTAATGCCAAAGGCAAGGACTGGCAGATGTTAGCACAGAAAAACAGCATCAACAGGTAATCGGGGGCAACTTCTGAAAGAGGATGTCACTGAGAGTTTTGAAAAACAAAGTGGGTTGGGTGTATCCATGCGGTTTCCAGGCCCTGATATCTTTGTAGATTCCTCTGGTCGTATTTCACGTGAGGCCTGTCTTCGTATGTGGGGAAAGAACAAGAACAGGACACTGTGTGGCATTTCCTTCCACCCACTCTGCCTTGAGGGACACAATAGAAAAGTCTTAACTTTGGTCCCGGTCCCGTCTTTAGGTTGGCTAACTGGGCCACCCACATGGGGTACAGACTCTGTCTTCTTGGTGCTTGTGGGAGATCCCAGCACAGTCTTGAACCAGTGGTCTAGAAACAAAGAAAGCTTCTCACACCTGCCATCATCAGGTCACCTTAAGCATTACGTACGTAACCCTTAACAGGGACATGCCAGCCTGAAAAGCGGGTGCCTCAGTATTAAACGTTTGAGGATGACAGCTCCCAGATCGGAAGGCAGAGGACTTAAAACAAGCAGGTTGCCCAGGCACGTGAATGTGGCCTGCTGCTTCACCAGACCCTCGACTCTGTGCTAACCTTGTGGGTGACAGCAGAGCAGTAGAGAGTAGGGCTTTATTAGTTGTGAAGAGAAGGAGCAAGAGTGATACCGGTTTAGAAAGCACTGATGGCAGCAGCTTTGGCCTCGGCTTGAAAGACTCAACAGGGGAGAGGGCACACTCTCTTCCCCCACCACTCCTTCCTCACCCTCCCCCCCTCCAGCCCCAGAATGAATAGAAAACAGACCAAGTTTTGCCAGAACCATCTTCTTTCTCTTTTTCTCTGGTACTTTTTTTTTTTTTTTTCTTTTGAGACAAAGCCTTCCTTTCTTACTGTTTGGCTTGCTCTGTCATTTCCATGGTTTGTTCTTTATTTTCACAGCCATCCTACCTGACTTTCTTCTCTGAAAGGGAGGTAGGTGTCTGCCAAGAAATGATAGAGTGCCACTCCCCAGTTTAAAAGGGATCCAGAATCCAAGAAGGGAGGACCCAACTAGAAAGCAGTCAGGCTGAGAGAGGAAAATCAAGAGAGGAGGCATTGCTGCTAAAAGAAAACGGAATTTGCAGAGACAGGCAAGCCCGGAAAGAATAGATACATTCTTGAAAGGCGTATATTGAAAATGAAAGAATACAGAAACGTATGAGTGTACAGGGAAGAAAAAAATTAGGTTGAATACTTCCCAGCAATTTTGACAAAGGAGGAGATGTCGCACTTATAACCCATGCACACCATGACTATGTCAAGCTCACTTTCTGATCAACACAGGGACAAGAATGAAAAACCAGCCCAGAGAACAGAATTTGGTTCACAAAGAAAAAAAGGGGGGACATGGGCCTTGGACCCGCAGGGTATCCCTGGTTCTATAACCTGTACCAATCTGCCAAAGCACACCGCTTAGCAGCCCTGTTTCTTTTTCTGCAAATGCAGATCATACAGTTTGAACTATATCAATTCCCTAATCCATTCTGAACATAAGAGTTGATGATTTTTACTTTCTTAATTTTGATATATATAATTTTAAAGTTTGTATTTTTTATATGGAGAAAAGGAGAGCGAGCACGAAGAGGGGAGAGGCAGAGAGAGAGGGAGACAGAGAATCCCAAGCAGGCTCCGCGCTGTCAGCACAGAGCCCGATGCAGGGCTCGAACTCATGAACCATGAGATCACTAGCTGAGCTGAAATCAAGAGTCGGATGCTTAACCGACTGATCCACCCAGGCACCCCGAGAATTGATGACTTTTAATTCACCATTCACATGAAAATAACTGCCACAAAATATCTATGATGCTGTCATTCGTTTGCTGAATATGCACATGTTCCGTTTCATGTTATTCTCCACTTATAGGATACCTACGAGAGGTACAGGGAGTGCCCCAAAGTCATCAGTCTGGGCCCTTCCACAGTAGGGAAAATGCATTTCAAAATGGGAGACTGAGGTAAACAACCTTTTGTGTCTGGGCTCTAATGAGCAGGAAGTGGCCGCACAGGGGCACTGCCCCTCTAGTGTCCAGGATCACCGGGTGTGAACACCGGGTGTGCCTGTTTCCTTGCTTTGGGTATGCCCTAAGAGCCCTTCTCCAGGAAAGCCTAAATTTCCTTGACATAGGGGTACCTGGGTGGCTCAGTCAGTTGGGCGTCCAACTTCAGCTCAGGTCATGATCTCACGGTCTGTGAGTTTGAGTCCCGCGTCGGGCTCTGTGCTGACTGCTCGGAGCCCGGAGCCTGCTCCAGATTCTGTGTCTGCCTCTCTCTGACCCTCCCCCACTCACACTCTGTCTTGCTCTCTCTCTCAAAAATAAATAAACATTAAAAAATAATAAATTTCCTTGACATAAGGAATACAAATAGCCTACTTTATGGAAAGTTTCTAACACGGTGACCAGAAAAGGTTGGTTTTCAATCAGTGTCACTTTTTGCAGTTTTCACTAATAGCAAATTAGGATGGCATGGGTCGATATAATTTACTATCTTTACATCTTCTTTGGTGAATATATTCAACTTCAGTGAATGGCATGTCCTGCCTACCTCTTTACTCTCAAGCTTAACCTTCCAAAAATTGGTCTAACTATGGAATGAGAATGGTTTAAATTGAGAATCAGCAAAATTTTATTCTGTTAAAGAACCAGAGAGCAAATAGTTTAGGCCATATAGGGTCTGTTGTAATTACTCAGCACCGTTTGGCTCTGCTTCTGCAGTGAGAATCAGAGAAAATACGTGCAACACAGCTATGCCGATTTGTTTAACAAACTTCATTTATAAAAACAGGCAACCTAACGGAGTTTGCTCACCTCTTATTTAAGTAAATCTGCTCTCACTTAGTAAAACTTCTATAGGATCCTGTCGCTTCAGTCAGAGCGACACCTGGAGATGAGGCTTCTCAGCTCAGTCAGCTCAGCAACCAAGTTTGAGGGGAGCGAGAGGGGGCAGACACAGCATAGAATCTTTTTCTGCAGACTGGTTGGTTCCAGCAGAAAGGCCACCAACATATTCACAGAAGCAGAATAAAGAAAAGACTACTGAAAATCACCTTGTACCATGTTATTAGCTCATTCTCACTTTGCAGAAATTGTCAAGTTCCTTTTAGGTTTTCATTATTATACTAAAAAATATAGCTTCTCCTACATGGGAAGAAATCTACGTGACAGAGAGGAACGGGATTTTCAGATGTCATTTGTCACAACTTCCTGCTGCATAATCCCAAGTCACTGGCCTCTCTTAGGGTTGCAAACAATATAGCATAGAACTGATCATTAATGTGTGTTAAAACACAAAAATCTGACATTGTCAATATGTGCCAGTATTACTGAGAGCTGTCCCGTAGTGCACAGACTTTCTGTTAGAGAATTCACCGTCCTTGATCTTGTGACAGCACTCTTTACCTGACTCTCCCCCTCCTTTCAGCTTCCAGAAGTATCGAAAAGCTAGCAAAGCAGTCGCCCTCAAATCATGAAAGAAAAGTTTTCAAAGGGAGGGGAGGGAGACATTCGCTTTTATTTTATTGCCAGTGAAAATGCTCTTGTACCCTCCTTTTGCTAAAATGCAAATGTCACTGATGATAATCTGCCTTTTTGCCAAACAAGTTTCTACTTTGATCTGAATGGGGGGTGGGGGGGAAGACTGGGAATATAAAGTGAAAGGCTTAGCAATCGCCGAGAATGGGAGAAATGTCAGTAGTGTGTGCTATGAGGCAGCAACACAGGTGGCCTTGCGACTTGCCTGGCATACGGATCACGCTAAATAAGCCACACCACCGAGCAAAGAATGTCAGAGATAAAAGTTGCAATTACAGATTCTGTGAGCAAACTTTGACGATTACTCAGGGTCCATACTCGCTGCATTTCAAAGCTGAGGTGGCACATTTGTTCTCTACGTTCAGCTGCAGTAACCCTGTGCTTCAGGGCTCTTGGCCCCCTGGGATGGCTAGGTGGGTAGCACGGCAAAATGGAGAATTGGTCACAGGAAAGGAAGTAGACGGTGGGCAGAATCGCTGAACAGATGCCGAACAGATTAGTATCGGAAACTAGCTGCTTCAGCCAGAAGTATCCTCCTGTGTCTAAACTTCGGTTGCACTTTGTATTGTCACAATGCTTTTTAAAAATTTTTAAAAATATTAGACAGTGAGCAAGAGCATGCACGAGTGGGGGAGGGGCAGAGAGAGAGGGAGAGGGAGACAGAGAATCCGAAGCAGGCTCCACGTGGGGCTCAAACCCACGAACCATGACATCATGACCTGAACCGAAATCAGATGCTCAACCGACTGAGCCACCCAGATACCCCTGTAACGACACTTTTTTTTTTTTTTATAAGTTACAGTTAAACCCACCACAACCATACTGTCTACTTAGGGGAAACTCAGTAATCCTTCCTTGAATGAAGGACATGCACTTCTTCATCGGATACTAACTATACTTGACCTCAAAAACTTCCTTCCTAATGAACAGACTTGACAGGAATAAGAATGGGTCTCAAAGGAAGACAGTTTGCACGGCTGATGTGAGGGAGGATTCCTGTCTTTTCCCTCAGCTCTGCCGCAGTAGCTGAAATTCTACCATTAGATCATTCGTCTTTAAGGCCTCATGATTTTCATATTCCAGAAACTCTTGTGAAAACATAGCCAGCTTGACCATGTTGCTATGGGAACAGATGCTGGATAAAGTGCAGGAGACATGAGAGTGTGAGCGGAGGGGAGGCAGGCGAGATGGAAGAAAGGGTGCCAAGATGGAGAGAAGCACATAATTACACCTTATTAACGGTTTTTCATAGTAGTACACAGCTGAATCTTGAACAACACAGTTGAACCCTTGAACTGTGCAGGCCTGCTTATATAGGATTTTTTTCAGTAAATACAGTCTAGTGCTATGAATGTATTTTCTCTTCCTTAGGATTTTCTTAATAACGTTTTCTTTTCTCTAGCTGACTTCATTATAAGAATAGTCTAATGAACGTTAACATTCAAAGTATGTGTTAACTCACTGTTT